TACAGTATGTGTTTATTAATGTATTTGTCCCCAACTCCTTCTGGCACCTATAAGTGGAGGTAGGCCTGCACGATTCGGGGAAAAATATGAATCACGATTTTTTAGCTTAGAATTTATATCACGATTCTCTGCCACGATTTTTTTTTCTCACGAAGTGTAAAGTTTATTGCATACATGAACCATGACAAAACAAAACAAATTGACAGTACCAAACATGGATATTATTGGCACCTATAGCACATTGCACATCGCCACAGCCTGTAAACACAGGCTTCAATGAATACAAGAAAATAAAGTGCGCATACTGGCCATTTAGATCAATTCAACATTCAATGCTATTCAGTATGTTACCAAAATAGTGAACTGTTTAATGCACTGCGCTGAGATATGGCTGAACATGGCATTAAAATAGGCTAAGCTGAAACATCTTCAAACATTCCTGAGACTTCAGTGGTCTAAATAAAAGGGACCATCAATTTGACAATTGAAGAGCAGTATCAAAAATGAATGATTTATTTATGGTACATATAGGGCAGACAACACTTGTCTTTAATTGCTGCTTTTATAACTAGTTTAAATGGTTTCTTGACTTCCACATCACTGTAAATGCAAGGCTGTCAATGAAAAAGAAAACAAAATTCAATTGGCCATGTCAATTAGGCTCTAAAAATTGTAACATAAACTAGAGCATAAATAAACCCCAAATCTACAAAATAGAAAAGAGAATGAATCAACACATCTACAACTAACAGGAAATAAAAAACGGTACTTAAAAAAATTCTGTGAAATAGAATGTCTGATTGGGTTTGACAATTTTCTCATTATTTTCACATAGATATTTACAAACAGCTTGTTGATATGAATATAAATAATGTCTTATAATTTATTATATATGACAACGTTCGGGCTTCATAATGAACTATGAACTAGCTAGTTTCCCGCCTCCTCAGCACGGCTGAAGATAAATTATACACCAAGAGAGGTCGGGACTTGAGGCAGAACAGCAATCATCAGCCGGTCACCACTCAAAGCCGGTTCATGTTTTGAGGCAACAACAGGAGAGGGAGGGGGAGAGGAGGCCTAAACACGTGACTGCAATATATTGGAGCGCGCCTAACTAATGGTGATCCTGTGAGGGATTGAGTTTCACCTACAGCTCTCAGAGAGGAACTGCATCTAAAAAATGCCAGGAGGAAACAAAAGTACCACATTTTGTAGCAGTACTAGTTCACTATTTTCTGACATTTTCTACACGAAACAAATTGTCAGACTAATTGATAAGGAAAATAAGGGTATTAGGGTTTTGAGAAATTGTGGTGCAGTTTTCTGACTTAATGATTAATCAAGCAACTAATCAGCAGATTAATCAGTTAAGAAAATAATTATTAGTTTCAGCCCAATCAATTACAAAAAGTACCGGATTCTATGCAAATTGTTCTGAACTAATATCAGTTCTACTTAGCAGCCTGCCCACAGAAGTTAAGCAATACAGTGAGAAAGAACTTTGTGTAAACAGTGATCTGCACAGCATGTATACTGTGTGGAGGTTAATTGTTGAGGTATTGTTTCACACTTTTAGCCACATAAACAACATTCATAATGAAGAGGACCTGCAGTAACCTTTAGTAAGCTTATTTTTAAGAGCATCAAAATGGTTTAGCAACTAGTTGGTAAAGATGGCAATTTTCAAACACAACATTGCAAAAAAGGTGGCCACACTTCCCTGCAATCTTCCCTGCAGGTCTCAGAGGATCTAATTACAGCTGTGCCAGCAACCCCCACACGCAACACACACACACACAGGACTGCTTACTCCTCTCCAGGAGACCGTTAACATCCTGAAATCCTTCAGACCTCCTGCTTGTTTCTGGCCTCTCCGTGACATCAGTCAAGCGTTTGGGACCGGCTTTTCTGTGTCCATGTTAAGCTAGAATGTGACAACTGCTCATGACTTATAAAAACCACATAAGTGTTTCGATACACTGTGCATTCAGCACGTCTAAGCTCTGTTGATTAATTGAAGTGTTTCCCTCTGGCTACTGTCTTTGTAGCTTTATGCAGATTTTTAAAACACATAAATAATAACAATACGTAAATCTAGTCAAGGTGTGCTAATGACTTTAGCATCAGTACTGAGGAAGCAGGTGCTGTGATTGAATTGCTTTCTTTCTGATTCGTCTGTGATATTGTCAAAGATAAAATGTCAGCAGCATTATAGCTGACTCAGTTTTTTAAAGTTCATGTGGACACTGTCTGACTGTGTATAGATTTAAAGAATCTTTTTCCGAACACACACAACCTGCGTGGCATTTAAAACAAGGCCGATCTGAGTTAAGGCTGCATCGACTGCTCCAAATGATGGTCATCAGCATTTACTTACCATGCTGGATGCCTAGCAACATAATTACACTGCCAACCCTTGTTTTAGTGACATAGCTGGTAAAAGCAATGTGCTCAAACACTGAGCTTAACAGCACCTCAGGTCTCTCACCAGTTACAGATGGACTGATGTCCTGCCTGTTAGGTAGGGCAGGACGATATAGTTCATAATAAAAATTAAATCACTATTTCTGCTGAGATTCCCTAAAGCATACATTCCCTCGTAATGGGTCCATGAAACACAGAAACACGCACAAACAGATTATTTGCTTTCACTCAGATTACTGGAGGATGTTACTTCATGTGGTATTAACCGTCTTTGTTGGCACAGGGTTTGAGGTTGTTGTGACTGCTTAACTGTTGCTCTCTGTGTTGACATGATGTAACTTCCTCAGAGAAAGCATTCGTCTCTCCAATCTAAATGCAGTGCATTTAGCGGACTCTGCTACTCTGCTGTGTCTATTTGGGGAAATCATCAAGTCATTCATAAAAGCCTGCTATGTGATTGGTTAATAAAGGCTTTGTTTCTGTGATGTGTTTTTATTCTGAATCAGCTTGAATTTTTTATTTGTATTGAGGAAATGTTTGCATTGCATTTGTATTTATCTCCCATCCCTAATGGCTTTTAGTAATTACAAATATTCCAGTGGTTGTTAATTTGCTTTTGGATTTATACATTTGGATTTATAAATTCAGATCCAAAAAGTTAATTCCACAGCTGATGCAACAAGGATTTATTTTTAGAACTATTTCAGGTGATCTGCCAGGTTTCATGCAGCACAAATGACACCTGGGCCTTTCTCCAAAGACCTCCATTATCACATTAACAGATGAGCACACACTCACTCTCTCACAAAATGCCCATCCAAATCATTATTGTAGTATTGAGTCTAGGAGAAAAAAAGTGAATAAAAAGCCACTGGGGTGAATTTAATTTGCAAATCAATTTGCATTAGGAGTGTTCTTGGACCATACTGGACATACCTGATGTGGTTAATGATGAGGCTGGAGGCGGGAATGAAGAAGTCGTCCACCCTGTCGAAGCGTCTGCCGACTGGCTGTGTGTGAACGGTGTGATGTGAGACTCTTCCACTGGCTTGACTGATCACCTGGTGATGGAGAAGGAGGTGGGTGTTAAACATGACCTTGATGAATACACTCAGTGCTGCTGGTTTACTACTTATTTTAATCTGCAACTCTTACCTATTTGTAGCTTAGAACCAAAATACTTGTAATTTACATTTTTTTTTTTTTTTTTTAGTATCATTTAATAAATCACTTAATATGTTGCTATCATTTTAATCATTTGTGGGTGCACTGATTTGAGATACAGCCTCTCCCCTTATTGCTGAGACTTTGGAGCTTCACAGTGCAAGGTGAAGTGTGCTGTTGTCACTGGTGTCTAAATAACACTGGTGCATGTGTGGAAGCGTGCAGACTTGTGCTTGTGTGTAGGCAGGGTTTTCTTTGATTGTGCCACAATGCACAAAGCAAATTGCCACGGACCAAACTCTGCTTCATGAATTTCTGTGCAGGCGATGATGAGCAAGAATTTCAAGTAAGTAATAAAAAAAAAAAGAAAAAAACACCCTCAGACTGAATCAAAGCAACTCTCAGAGGAAAATATACTTTTAAAAAAGACCATTTTATTACATATTTGTTGATTCTATTTGTAGCATGCTCATCAACTCTGTGTGACGGTGACATTCAGTGTAATCAATAAGTATTTGGATGGCGACACATTGTTGCTGTGTTGGTTCTGTACTTTTGTACTAATTTTAAAAGGTTTACATCCTTAACTAGGTGAACAGTAGGGATTCTAACCCTTTTATTGTCCTGCTACAATGCCTTCACTGGTACTCTAATATTAATGTGGCTAGACCTGGACCAAAAAATTTTAAATACTGACATTAGCTATTGCAGACACCATAAATTGTCCTTTATTTACCTCAGTGCCAGAGAAGCTTTTATTTCTCCCTACCTCTGATTCCTCAGACAATGCAAACTGAAAACGTTGTCTATGTTTACCTATTGTCTTGTTAAATGCAGTATAATGTCAATATCAGGTCATGTCAGGTGTTACACTTGATGTTAATGTTTACCAATGAAATTTCTGTCACAAATTTCCCTTTAAATGTTGTGCACCCTTCCCTTTTCAGGTAGTCGTTTAATGTTAAAAAACATCAGGAAGTATTGAGTTTTGTTGATGGTAGTATACAGTAATATCAAACAGGAGTATACAAAGACGAGAAGTCTGGAATTAAAGCTATAATATGTAAAATTTTGGCATTAAAATGTCTACAAACACTAGACCTATGTTATATATTTTATTGAGTTATGTACTATCATTATCTCAGATGTTTCCAACAATGTTCAAACTTAGAGAAATCTGTAATTTTATTCAGGTAATGGTGCGTTTCATTGGTCACCTGTAACTGGCATCGTATCCCCTTTCTGCATGCGTCAACATTGTGGCCTTTTTAGATCTTGGGTGTTTTTACCTCTATATTTTAACCGGATGATGGAATTTAGTCATCAGACGTCTGGATCTTAAGTTATCAGAGAAATAAGCTGAGCTAACGTTAGCAGCAGCTCCGCTGACGACCCCTCCGGGAAATCCTTTGTCTGGCAAACAGCATCGGAGAAACAGAAAGATTTTCCAGGTAAAACTGCTTTATTCAGTGTTTTTAGCAGTTTAATTGTTGTCTGTTTGGAGTCTCTGTGGGTAGTTTGGCTGCCAGTAGCTCTTCAACGATGAACACTGTACTGGAATGGCAGTGTTGTACTGATGTAAATGTACATTGTACTACATTGACCATGTGAGCTGTTGTAGAAGGCTACAGGTAATTCCTCTGCACTCAGTGTTTGTTCCTGCTGGCCACGCCCCCGGTTATTATTGGACTTTACCCTCATAGTCAGTTTTTTATTTCAAATTTAGTGCATTGGAGTTCTGAGCTAAACATTTTTTAAAATGGGTGACTTTCCAAATACTTACACACTGCACTGTAAGTGACTATTAATTGCCCCTCATCAGGCAAGACAAACAAATCAACAGCTGAAAACCCCAGAGAGGCTGCAGAGATTAATGCCATGTTCATGTCATATTGGAAAATGGGGAAGCGCAGGACAAGTTGGAGGAATTCAAATTTAATTCATTGTAATGCCATGCCAAGATGGTTATTATAGGCTTATTTACAATGTACTGTACGTGTGTTGCTGTAAAAAAAAGTTTTTACAACATGACAAAGAAGTTGCTCCATTTTATATAGGTAGAGTAAAGTCGATCAGTGTGAATATAATTGATCATTGTGTTTTTTATGATATTGCTCTTTGTGGATTGTCTTTTGTGGATTAGAGCCTTTACTAATGGTATTTACTGGAGACAGATGTGAACTTTTTCACATTCATTGCTTTATATTTAGGGCAATCTTATCTATAGCTAAAGCAATTTATCAATTATTGTCTCACTATTTTGATAATAAACTGTTTGAGTCACTTTTCATTTGACGAGCAATTTAAAGACATATGGACAATATGGAAAATGTGATAATTCTCGAGTACAGTGTTCACTGGCCATTTGCTAACCTTGGATCAAATCCTAACAATGCTTAATGTTTGCTTCTCCGTGCTTGTATCTTTCCTTCTTTGCTCTTCTACCGCTCACAAGGATAAACCTCTACAGAGGAATGAATAACATCGGAGTGTAATAAACAGGGAACTTGCCTGGAGAGTAGGGAAATTCTTCTCCATGTCTCCCCAGCTGAGCAGCCACACCTGGTCGTGAGATTTGTCATAGTGAAGCTTCACAGGATATGGGTCGGTGCTGACGGTCTGGAAGGAAAACGCACACAACCAAACCAAACTGAGCATTTAAAGACAGCAGGGCCACAGAATAACAATTCAAGGTAATCAACTTTGCTTTTGAAGAGATCCTTCTTTGATGTGCAGTGCTAATGCTTTTGAAAAGTTTTCCTGCAGACTAATGCATCGGCAGTTGACAGGAGCAAGTCTTCTTTTTACAAGGCAGACCGGAGGTGTGCTTTTTATGTATAAGGTGTTTTTGGTGTTGAGCTGCATTTCAAATCAAGTGGTGACAGACACAATTGCTTTACCACACTGAAGTAATTGCTTTCAGTCTTTATCCGTTCCTTGACACACAGCGGCAATATTCCAAGTCAGAACAATAGATGAGTTGTATGTGACAGAAAAGCGCTCCTCATGCATTATGTCCACGTGAGTGCAGATAGACAGCCAGCTCAAAGGGAATAAAGAAAGCACAGGGGAGAAGAATGCACGCAGTAGCTACACCCTCAGCAGCAGCAAGAAAAAGCAATCATCTTTTTTTTAAAGAAAATGATTGTAACCTTGTATTCCCACAATCCCCTTTGACTGCAACTTACTTTCTATACTATTTTGTTTTGCCATGGAGCTCTAATAGTATTGTTTACCTAGGCAAAATATATATTGTTTCTCTGAGAGAGCAAAGCGCTCCTGAGAGGGTTATTGCAAATAAGATGAGAATATCTGTTGAATCCTAACTAATCTCTGAGCATGTAGTCATCGGAGAAAACAGGTGTTCATGTTGTTCTTTCTCTCTTGACTAACAACTTCTTTCTGGCTGAGGAAAGATTACCAAGATCCTCAGCCAATATGCTCACGTAACTCTAGCGCTGACTGCGGATCTGTCAGAGATGAAGCACAAAGAAACATTACAGAGCATTTATCCGTGTGCACTCTGCAATTTATTGGCTATAACACGCAAAATATAATGTGCTCATTAAAAAGTCTTCACTGGGTATTTAATTGGTAACAAATTTCAAAACTCAATTTGCTCATTATTATTACTTTACACACGTCAATCATATTAATGATTCAATGAGAAAATAGAGAGCAGGGAAACCAAAACCAGAACTCGTGTCTCTTACTATTTCAGGCGGAATCAGGTGGTTAATTAACAACTGCTAATATAATGCAATGAAGCTTAACCTCCAGGCGACTGAATAATGAGCTTGTGACAGTCTCTGGGACGCCAACCTGCTTACTGGCAGGTCCCTGAGAGGCCTGCGAGCTGTAAACAGCCATCATGGTGTCAAAAACATCTGCAGGGATCTAAGCAACCCTGGGTTACCCTGACACACCCAAAAACCCACTGACACCGATGATTTAACTCAACGCTCCTCACTAGAAATGTGCTGAATACTTCCTGAGCCTTTTTTGCAAAAATAAAATTCCCTCAGGAAAATAAATGGTGCTGCAAAGTGGCAGAGCATTTGAAGGATTGCCGCTTGTACCGTCTGTAAGAAAAACTGCCGGGTTGCCATGTTACAATAGCTATGAAGGGTTGCCAGGTTACAGTATCCATGAAGAGGTGGGTCTCGGGGTCACTTGGACACCGCATCAATGTAGTGGTTAAGTGTAGGTCTCGGCTGTTGCAGAATGTATGAAGCGGGTGCGGTCAGGGGTTAGCAGTTGAACCAAAGGTGAGAAAACAGATCTTAAAGCTGAAAAAGGAACTCTTCAGACAAGAGCAGGGGTGATGCACTGACAAACAAGCCTCTAGACAGGAGAGAAACCTAAAAGATATTGTCACGTAGGAAAATACAAAACCTTTTTTTAAACTAGGCCTGGGTTTGTTGAGTCCTTTGATCAAATCCAGTAAGGTTTAGTAATATTTGAAATTAACTTAAATTATACCTAATTATATATTAAACACTGTATTATACATTGAAATGTGTAATTAGCTTATGTTGGCTGAGAAGTCACTAAACGGATCTGAGTGGCAGCCTGACTAATTTTTTACAACCTACAGCTACGACCTGAAATTGAGATGAGCAGCAAAATATATGAAATGTGGACTAAATATATCTGACACAGCTGTAGACTGCTTGCTTTGACACCTTATGTTTTTCAAGCTACCTGATCTAAATAATGGGGACACTGATTCAGAACTAGTAGGAGTTGATCAACTTAAAAAAATGACATAATATTCATAAAACTTTCACTGGGATGTTTTCCTCAAATTGTCACCCAATCAGTATTTTTTTATTTGAGTGGTGTCAACACTGTGTTGGTCCTGTTTCCTAAAACACACAGTCCACTCACGGTCAAAGAGAGGTATTCTTCCTTACTAACAATCCTTGTAGTGTACAGGCTTGCAGACAGGCAGCAGCTAGAAAGCACCTTAGGAAGTTTTATTTTAGCCTTTACAGAATTTAATTAGTTACTGATTTAATCTACAGCCTGATTGTCATTTGTCAGGGTAAAAATTACAATCCTGCTGAATCTCTTCTACATTGCTATTTGCAAGAAAAAAAAAAATTAGACCTGTTTTTGCTCTTGATATTTCTCTTTGTACATAAAACTACACATACTGGCTTTAAATCAGACCTTGATTGGCTGTCAGACATGCTATGGAATGCCAGTATGTCCTTATTACTTAGTCATATTGTACACCAGTTACCAAGCAACTAAGTGACTCATTCTAAGCCCCTAACCCCCCTTAGTTACTGTTGCTATATCACATTCAACAATGTACCAAGTCTTTACTATTTAGTCAATTGCTGCACATTACATTTACTAACTAACTGCAGGAAAGTCATTAACTTTAGTAAATGTTAGCTAATGCTAGTTGCTTAAACAGAAATGTGACTTTTGATGTTAACTTTGAACAGATGTAGGTCCTTAGTGGTTTGGAGCTGATTGAGGTCTTCCTCGCAGCTTAGTACACTCTTGACATTTAACTGGATTTGATTTAAGCTGCAATAAAAGCAACAGTCCACACAATCTGACCCTGTCTCCTTCGAAATTACTTTCATATACAACTAATTTGCAACAAAAATAAGTTTTGATGGAAACGTAATGCTGACCGAATTATGTTTTCTATTAACATAATAATGGAATTTTATGAATTCACATATCTGGCAAGTTTAAAAGTATTTAATACTGAAAGTATTTCATTTATTTTATGGGAAAATCCCCCCATCTTGCATAACTATCCACTCGTAGTGACTACAGTGTTGTTCAGAAGTCAGCAGACATAAGATTAACATTGGAACAACATCATAATCTTTGCATAACTTTCACCAAAGTGCTTTTGTTGCAGGAGTCTGGATGCGAACCCTGGATTTTGGTTTGACAGTCCTGCACTTTGTACGCTCTCCATCCACACCAAAATACTCCTTGTGACAGCACCATGTTACATATTTCAAAATGCATTGTATTATAATCCAGGCAGGTATTACATTCTCACCACAACGCAATTCGGAAAATAATTTTGTAATATAAAAACAGGATACTGAATGTCGCTGTTGCATATGTGCGAGGCACTGATCGCTGTCAAAGTGTCCGTGTTATTTGTGGCATATACTGTAGAGCAAATGTAAGCACTAGGCAGGCAAAGTATTAGAGCAGAAAGATGACCAGGAAGTTAGTTTAGGGTTGCTAAAACTGGTGCGTTAAGGAAAAGATGTGGTGCTTAGGACAGTTATTCAGTAGATTCAGTAGATGTTACAACATTATAATATCTACTGAATAAATATCATTTTACATCGTCAACCCGCAGTCAAACATGTCTTGCATGAGGTCTCCTGCCTATGTCTGAACCACACCACAGCACTCATTTTTGTGTATGAGTATCCTATTCAATTATTACTCAAGTTAGAATAGTAACAGTAGTAGTAGAATATAATAAGTCCAGGCATATCTACTGCACAAGCTGTTTCCAAAAAGTCTTGATAAAGTTTACATGCAGTTAAGGTAAAAGTTGGAGCATGTAGTCCAATGCTCCCACGTAATTGAGTTTCTGCATGAAGGACAATGTATTGTATCAAACTGAATCGAAAAAGATTTGTCCTTCATTCAACAAAATCAATCATAGAAAATACTTATATGACGTAATGATTTATCGAAGGTCCATGTGAAAAATGTTGTATTAAATCAATGTGGTTTTCTGGTAACTGTATGAGTCAAAGACTCATCTCCTGCAACCTTGTGGTTGCTTGCTTGTGCAGATTTTGAGTTCTGCGAGAAAAGTACCTTTACTTTTACAAAGGCACTAACAGGAAAGATTATTTCTTTTTTTTCCCCGTGCTCTGTGTAACCCCTCTCACATCATACATTATTGTGGTGTTGTTGGCAAAATTGACATGAACCTGGTTTTCCAATTTAGCCTGAGAACTACCTGGACAGCCTTCTGAGACTGGATGTCAACTATGAGCACTCGGTCCAGGGTTGGCTGTGTCACATAAATAAACTTGTCCTTGATGTTGACCGCCGATGACCACACACACCTCTGAACCTCTTCTCCTGGTGAGGTGGGGCACACCTCCTCCTGGAAAACACAAAAGCACACACACATTCATTGTTAATTGTTTTTCATATGACAGGGAAATAGGTCTCATTAAAAAACAATTATCTTCATCCAGTCGTTATTCTGTGTTGTTTACTACTCGCAGTCTTATCACCTATGCTGATGTGAGTTGTGTTATCATCTTGACAATTTAGATAAATGAGCTTTTCAAGGTCCTGAAAAATCTCTGTAATAGCTCCTATTTGTCCACACATAATCCCCAGAACAAAGCCTGCAGACGATCCTTGGCTGTTCAGCTTTCAGTCCTGGCAGCAATCGCCTTTCTGGCCAGCGGAGACCTTAGCTGGCCCTCTGTCTCTGGAGCTGTCCCCCCCTTCGCCCCCTCCCTAGCCCTCCAAGCCTCCAGGCTCTGCCCAGTCGTCTGTTCCAGAGTGTGTGGGACGATTTAGGGAGCTGCTGGCCAGCAAGGATGAATGAAGGGCTCCGGCATGGTGGGATGAACTCTTTCTCCCATATTTACAACCACAGTAGCAGTCCATGACAGGTGCCTTCCCACAGGCCAACGTCTCTCAGTTAGAGGGGCATTAGGTAATGTATGAACTTCACTGAACTCTATCAAGGATGAGAGAAAGCTGAAGCATCACTGACAGAATTTATCTCATCTCTAGTTCAGCCCCCTACTTATCCTGTTGCCTGTATTTTATCTGTAGAAAAGCAAGTTAATTTGGCCAGACATGCAACAACAAAATCTAGTAAAAAGGTTGTTTCATGATGGAGAATGCTAAAACAATGACAGCACTCTGACATTTTGTACTTCATAACAAGGTTTTCATTCTTAAGTTGTAACACCATCTGTCAGTGCTTACCATCTAAAACAGGGTGGGAAATTCAGTTTTTGAAAGCCAGAAATATTTGCACTTGCTCAAGTAATTGTTGAGTCATTGGTATTGAACCCTGTGAAACCCTTTCAGACCCACACTGTGGTCATTCTGTGCTGTAGGGCTGTAAATATCTCACTTATTGCACCTTTAAGAGGTGAGAAATCAAACATCTGATGCCCAGCCGAGGGTGTGAATGGAGGCGCCTGTAATCCTCCCTGTGTTTATGTGTGTTGCATATGTCTGTATGCGTGTGGGTGCATAGCATGTATGCGATTTATGTTGTAACTGACAGCTTCTTAAGACTGCAGATATGTTTTTTTTTTCCTTTTTTATGTAAATGAATACACTCTCTAGATACATAACGGTATGTATTTTTCATGGATTCATAGAATGCTTATTGGATGGGACATTGCAGCACTGGAACCACGCCAGAAACAATACAATACTGTACTGTATCTCTTCAATGGAAACTGTAAATCAAATTGTACTGCAAAATATGTTTTTAAAAGACTACTCTTTTTACTTGTGAATTTGGATGTGGATGATGACATTTAAAGAGCTATGTTGGGAAATATGAGGGTTCTGATATTTCCCAGTTAAGCCACTGGATGATTTGTAGTACTAATATATTTGTGACACAATGTCAGCCATCTGTGGGGAGGAAAACTGCAGAAAACAGTGAAGCGGCAACATCCGAAGTGTCAAAAGGAGGAACTTTGCAGGAAAGTAGCAGCACACACACTTCTCTCTCTCTCTCAAGGGCCTTCTCCAAGGTTTCAATCCAACCTGCTATACACTTACAGCTATTTTTCAAATGGTAGATAACTCAATTCGAATGTAACCTTTTACACCCAAGAACATCACATTTCCACACACTGATTCACCAGACATGAAGCAAAGTACATCACATACACATGAGGCTCACAGTTTTGTGCACAGATTAGTTTAAACTGATTTTCCCCTTGCAATACAAAGCTGTATTTCTTGCTGTACCAATATGTTGATCATCGCAGTTTATATTAAACAAGCTCTTCTTGGAAAAACTAAGAGCTCAGAAAATGCTTCTGGTTATAGAACGTGAAGTGAAAAATGGAGAGAGTGCAAATGAGCTGTTGATTATGTACCCGAGTCTCTTTGGTACAAACAAGAAAACATGCAGTGAATGTTCAACAAATGATACTAAAATTCTAATTATTGTATGTGTTAATCTAGCTTTATCTGTTTGTTTGGATAAAGATCCCTATATGCATGGTACAATTCCAAAATATACCCATAATACCCTCTCTATGTTTAACTACAACACAGCGCTACTTGACAAAAGCGAGAAAAATGTGGATGCTTCTTTCAGATTTTTCTTGGCTGCAGATGGAGGCAAAATTAAGATACTTCCTGTACCGACTTTACCGTCATTGGACATCACAGTGTTTTCCCAACTACTGTGTGTATCACAGTAGAAGACTCTATATGGTAGTTAAGGATAATGGATAGGCTGTGCGATTACCATAAACAAATCAATCAGTGCTCTTTTTGTGATGGAGAAAACGTGAGTACTATGCTGGGAGCGGCCTCATATGTTCACACAGCAATCCCCCATGACAGCGCTGGATTGATATCCTAATACAAACATACCTCTCAGAGGAATGCTTGGCTGATTGTTGTGCATTCACGGCATCGCTTTATGTATAACAGCCATCCAATAAGCGCCGGGCTCCTGGATGAAAGGCAGCTCAGGGGAAAGCGTCCATTCGGGAACACATGTAAATCTAACCGGTATCTATCAACAATGTGCTTTGAATATTTTACTGCTTGAAAGCTTCAGTGATAAACGGTGAATCAGTGGGGGAGGCTGGGTGTAAAGAGTCCACTGGGACGTGAAACCCACTCTGACTGCATGTGGTCTGTCAATGAGCTAAATTTAACAGACCGACTTCACACTGTAAGGTGGCCTCTGTGTCAACTGGGCAACGTTTTCTGAGGCTAGCAATAGCAGCCAGAAGATGTGAGACTATCAATAACCATTTTAGAGCTGCACTAATCAATACTTTTACATCAACAATAGAAAAATTAACTGTGTAATATGAAAACCTCAACTCTACAGATCATTTTAACGTCTTTCTGATCGTAATTTTGGTTTTATGGCCCACAACTTGTTTTAGCAGGCAGCTGTTTATCTCTAAATTTTTTCTCTCAGGAGATAGTGATAACCAAAAACAGAGCTAAAAGGACAGTGAGTGTTGGACTTAAAATCATAAGGCAGACATAAACTCAACTCCAAATGAATGCTAATGTTGCATGCGCTGTGTCTGCTGGATGTGTAAAGAGGCAACTGATTTGCTAGCACGTTTACCATGACTTTATAATGTGATTTCATGTCTATATTATGTCTATATACTTTTCTCTATATACATTTTATTGTGGCTAAAACAAATATAAAAATATACATGAGTTGTTTTTATTTTAAGTGCAGCCCTCCTTTGCTTAAAGCTGCTAAACATTTGAAATTTTCATACATTATACATTTTAGTGCCTCCTTTTTGATGATGGTCTGTTACTATAACTCATGGTCCATATTCTTTGTTGCTAATAAAAAAGGAGCATTGTTCAGCAATGCTGTCCAATCTGTAAAATAACATTTAATTGAACCTAAAATCAAAATATGGAGATGTATTTTTTTATTTGAAAGTGACCATATGTTGTTTATTCATTTGTTACATGGAGCCCATTTATCTTGTTAGCATTTATTCACCCTAATGGGCTTTTCTACTCCTTTTCCATTAATTTGACAGAATAGAGAGAGAAAGCAGCACGACACCACTACTGTTGACACCTCACTGTTTATCATGCAGCTCTAAGTAAAACATATAAATCATATGTTGATGGTGGTTCGAGGCTGTGTCCTTTTCTTGAGCAGGACACTGTACCTTTATCTGCTTGGCTGCATTTGAATAAGAATCTCAGATAAATCCCAATATAAACTATATTGACTGCTAATGATGGATTTCAGGTCAGACAACAGAGTGCTTCAAGTGTTGCTTGTCAAGGCTAGCATATAATAAATCACAAGTCACATATAACTGCATTTTGCCATTCAAAAACCCACATACTTCCCTATTTATACACCAGAGTTTACTGTAAAAACATTTTAGGTTGTGTTTCTGACCACCTGACAAATGTCCAATATTCACTCTCCTTTTAGCTCTGTTGCTCTTCAACAACTCCAGAGAATAAAATATTTGGCTCTTTTGGGTTCTTTCTTCTGTCTGCAGTGGCAGGACACAAGGTTGATGGGTGGCTGCATTGTGGGCCATAAAACCAAAACACTGAGCTGAAAGACACCAAAACACCTCGTAGCTGAGAGATACTGGTGGAGTCAGGTGATAATTATCTGTGGGGTGGTTACTAAAAGCGACACTAATTTGGTGTAGCGATCGCATTTTGGTTAAGACAAACATCCAATCACAGAGCTTGAATCAGTTGCACATACCACTAATAGTGAGCAGGAGCTGAAGCGTCTGATTTGTAAAAACCTGATCACACATTAAGCAGTTTGTGCAATCTGTAACTGGATTCCATAGCAATAACAGCTGAGGATTATGGGTATTGTACCAAACCAAACCACACACTGATAAGACCACGACTTTGAAAATTGATGTTGAGGTAATTAAGATTGATGACCAAAACATATATATAGACTGTTGTGTTTTCTATGCTGAGTAACATTGAGGATAATATTGAAATTGTTTACTAGGAATTTACATTTTGGGAAAATAATTCAGTGGTTTTCAGTACCTTGCAACTCTGTAGTGCATTGTAATGGGTGATCTGTTACACAGATGGCTCAGGTGGTCCAGTCCAACTCAGAATGAATCACTTTAAAAATGAGTCAGTGTTAAAAAAAACTGAATGTTTCTTTTGTCCGACCACTCACCTGCAGAGCTAGCAGTTTCTCACTGGGTTTAATGTGCCGTTGTATTTCACATGCCACAGGCTGAATTACTTTAATACCGTCATCATAGAACACGTAGAACATGTTGCCAATGCCGAGACCTGGAGAGAAAGCAAAAACGGCCCTGTTACAATACATACTTAAAATAGCTTATGAGACTGCACAGTGTGAACATTTGCCACGGAAATAAGCCTACAACATTGCTATCTACTTTCAAAGCATCAAATCATTTAATCCCTCTCATCACAGTTCAGTAACCCTATTACAAAAATTCAATTAACTCAGTTTAATGAATGCTGTAGTGAAGCAGAAGCAGTCTAGACGTACCTTCTTCTCGCCACAAAATGTTTGCCACTGTGAGGGAGAAAAAGAGGAAAGGACGGTTGGAAATCAATGTAAGAATCAATAGGGTCCCTTTGTATTTGTTAACACACAAACACTAACTCCTATTGAGGCAACCGGGAAAGCAGACCACATGAAAGTTTTATGGAAACTGTCTCTCTGACACCTAGTGCAACAAATAATCCATAGAGTCCTCTGCTTGGAAATAATTTGATACCAAACAGTGGAAAATGGAGTGTAGTCAACAAACTACAAGTACTGTAAAACCATTTATGATTTTTGGATGCTGCAACCCAAGTACACTTGGTGTAAAATGTGAAATAACTCTAAAGATCAGATCGTCATCCATCAATGTGAGTGTTATGGATAAGCTGCCTTAGATAGTCCACAGGTTTTAGGCTCAGATGATAATCATAAGTCATTAGGAGGGATTAGTGTGCTCCTTCTTCAGTGCCAAAACCAGTTTTGGCTCCTATAACAGGTAATATCTCATTCAATTCAATTAGTGGTGACTAATGACATGAAATGTGGAATGAAAGCCACAAAACAACCTGAGTGCTTTAATGGCCAACCTTAAACACAAACCAGCTGTTTGCTTTCAAAGCAGCCAATGGGCACACTGAGGGTAAAGATACCATTACATAAAATTACATGGATAAAGAAAGATGTGGTAAGGAGGAAATCTAGAGCCATTATAAAGTTATTTTCCATGCAAATATCAGAGAAAATTCTGCTACTCAATCATTATTATCCTCCAGCCCACAAGCAGCACTACTATCCTCTCACACTGGCTTTTCATTTGTGACCTTCTCTCCTATTGTTCATCTGTCCCCCGGTCTTCCCTCTGCTTCCACCCCATCTTCCATTTTCAGGCATTTTCAGTCTACAAACCAATCTCCAGCCCAATTCACATCCGATTCTAATCTTGCCTCTATTGCAATGCTCATTCCCGCAGCCTCTTTCTCGGGTGGACAGATGCAGAGAAAGAAAAGGGGGGAGACAAAGCCAATGAGACACCACTGTGCCGTTAGTCAGCCTTAATCTTTCAAAAGTGCTTTGTCAAGTGTTTCCTGTGCACTCTTGCATACCTTTTAGCTCATTAAATGTTACACAAAAGGAATAGGGTCTATAGATAGAGAGGGACAAGGAAAGAAGGACGGGAAGGACAAAACAAAGAGGAAAACAATACAATTTATTTGAGATGTGCCAAAAATGGAAAATGGAGAAAATGGAAAAGAGGAGTTGAGATGAGATCTTGTGTGCCCTGGTCTTTTCCAATAGCCCACAGTATTGATGCTATTCATCATTTGGCAGAAAGACTGTGGTTGTTCTGCGCATACAAGGGGCCCATACATCAACTTCATCATCCATATAACAAAACAAGCTGGCTGCCACTGTAGGCGGTGAGTTCACTCTTTCTGGTCGTAATAACTGTGTTTCCACTGGGCCCCAAACATTGGGAGCGCCACGCTCGCCAGCCAGCCTGGACTCTGCTGTTCCTACCCGTCAGCAAGGTTACATAAATTCAATTTGTTTACAAGACCACGCTACTGCGACAGTGGGCCAAACAGCCTGTGGTGTTCACCATAGAGGCATGGCAGAAGACAGTGAATGCATAATATAGGTAGAGTAATTGGGTCACAGTAGATGGAAATGCAAAGTTTTACTCAGGATGACTGACTTGGGTGTGCAGGGTTTTGCTGCTCTTTCCAGAGATTATCCCACAAGTTTCTTGGAAGTATCGACCCCTGCAGTAAGTTCTGCTTTAATTATAAGCAATAAACAAATACTGTCTTACTGACAAACTGCAAGTGTGAAAAGCTGAGTGCCCACCCCCTGCTCTAGGCAGTTACAATGAGGAAGCAGAACAGGAACGCAAAAGAGTAAAATGATTTCCCTCTTCTTGCTTTTTTTCTTCATCTGCATTGATACTAAACAAATATCCCTCTCAGTGAAATGCTAATTATAATAACAGTGATTAATATATAGTGATTATTAACATGCAGGGCAAGTACACCACATATCCATCACTGCAGCTATGCCAAAATGATTTTTGATGCACCTGCCAAACGCTCACTTACTGTAAACCCTGGCTTGAATTAAGATGTCTCAGCACCGCCTGTTTTTGGTCTTAGCCAGAACCTGTAAATCTAGGGCCTCATTTAAAAAAATGTTTTTAGATTTATACTTGAACTTAGTCTTAAGATAATTTCCAACGTAGTGCTTACGTTCAATTCATTATGCAGGTTTTAAGAAGCCCGTTCTATAAATCTCAAATTAACTTAATAATGACTGCACCAAAACAACATTAGCAATTTCCCCTTAGGTAATAGCTAGCACAGACGAGAGCTTAGTCAGGAATAGCTGTGGACCAACAGACACACATGCAATAGACAGACAATCGATTAAATGTGTTATGAGTTGGTATTTTTTGAATGGAGATCAATGTCACGGAGGAATGGACAATATCAGACTACACAGTCAATACCTGTTTGTTTTGATCTTTTGACAGGATTTGTATATAATAAGAAACATATAGAGCATCGCTCTGTACAAAGGGATAGTAGAAAACTTAACATCCAGTGCTGACGGTTAAGAATCGTAAGGCATTGTGATATCTTTCTTTCACTTGTTCATTGAGTTAAAGGGGTCAAAGAGAAGGCCATGAAATTATAACTCTCAGAAGGTAAGTAGAATTACAGGGTATATCCTTCTCGCTTGGTTTATACAGTTGGGGAAAAGTCACAATGGGTCATTTTTAAAAGACTGAGATATTTCATGTCTAATTCAAAGCAGCCACCAACTGATGGTGGCTTGGCCTTTGTAGTGTTAAAGTGAACACTGATGAAAAATATCAGTTTCACCGCTTTGTGCTTCTCACTCGGCACTACACACAGTCAGGACTTACCAAATGATCAAGTACCTCTTCTGACTGAGCAAGAAGTCTTTCAGCTTTTATATTTTACCCATCCTTTTTCCAGCCAGATTTTTTTACAGCTTTTTTTGTTGCTTTTAGCAATTCTGTGTTGCATATATTCAAGGGCGCTAAAAGATTGAGGGCCAACTTCAACAGCAAGTTCCCGGCAGAACTATTTATAGTCAGGTGGAGTAAGGGATATTTCAAAATAACAGGACTGACTGTACTAGTACTAGAGCTGGAACCCTGTGGAGGACTGAAGGCTGTATCATCTCTTTAAGAGTAGGAGTATTCAAAAGACTTAATCCTTGGAGAGAAATCTATGAAAGTTTGGAAAAAATACAAGTTACTGGCAAAAGCTTAAAAAAATTAATTGTGTGTTTATCATAAACAAAAATGGGAGACATGGAGAGATAAATGTATTTTTTAATGTATTGTTTTTCCCCTGATTTTATTGTATAATAAATAGTTTTTATCCCATCAGAATCAGAAATACTTTAATAATCCCAGGGGAAATTACTTTCGTTACATACTCCAGGTGCTTGCTTTTATTGTTTTTGTCATTTGTTTCTTGTTTTGGTTGTGCTTTTGTTCGTCAACTTTGTAAAGCACTTTGGGTTGCCTTGGGTATGAAATGTGCTTTATAAATAAATTTCCCTTTTGCCTTTAAATGCTGAGAATTCTCTCAGACGCGGAGGCAGCTTACAGTGGAGTGATGGTTAAAATATTTAATTCTTGACTAACTGCAGTCCTGATTGGCAGGAAATATTAATCACTTTTAGCTGGTTTTGACGCTTTTATGCAGTTGCACTGTTATTGTGCATCTGACACCTGTCGTTAAATGTGGTCACATAATGTCAAATAATTCTGGGAGCCGCTAAACAAATTATTGTTTTAATAAAGAAGTCGGGCATTAATTGGCTTTTTTCCATCATTCTGTGAGCAATCATGATTTGATATCATACTGCACACAGCATGAGTCTGTGACAGCGACAGTGACAGTAACTTTGGATACCTGGCTGAGCAGCTGGAGGTGAGCAGCGTGTCGCCTGCAGCTCTTCGTCTAACAGCTCACTGTGGCTGCTCTTCCTTGTTCCATTACTTTCTGCAATATTTCCAACTGATCTGATGTCAAACGTTTTTCACCACTGATACCAAGTTTGTAAAATTGTAAATACATACATATTTTCATCAGAGGCCATTCTGTGGACCACAGGGGAAGCTTTGGTGGGACGACCTGACGGCAGAGGTTAGATTTCTTACTATTTCATCAAGTTAACTATGACTTTCAAATCTATATCAGATTTATAATGATCTGTAAAGGGATTTAGGGGTGACTAAAACTACACAACCTTTTAGTCAGTTGAGTTTTACATACTTTGTTTAATATAATGTTAATTGTTAATTATACATTCTTTATAGGTTGTTTTTGTGCCCTTGCCTTGTCCTCTCTGCTCTTTGTTTTTATTTAAAAAGATCAGTCTACTTATCATTAATAGTATTATTACATTATACATTATACTCTTTTACAGAATTCATCATCAGAAATATTCCTAAGCGGTCATGTTGTAATGGCTTCAAGGCGTTGAAACTTTCCACTGGATTTACAATATTCATTTCAGAAAGCCTTTAGCATGAAACTCAGCCGACAGGCAGTAGGCTGCTGACACTGTGGATAGCGTCACTGCCCGGTTAGAGCTCCTTGTTGCTGACAGCGTGTCCAATAGCGTGTGAAAGCCCTCTGTGATGGGGAGGGACACCGCTGATGGAAACATGGACGGTATTTTGGCACGAGCTGATCTTCTCTATTCAGACGATGCTGATCTTCTCTATTCAGACGATATGGAGCAGACAGCATGGCGAGCTGCATAGAATAAAACAGCTTTGTAAAGACTTTGGTGTGGAGCAGTGGTTCTCATCCGTGTGGCACCGAGGCTTTGTTCCAACCAATCACTTCACCAGCAGATTTCACTGATTAGATCTTCTTCTCTGACTGAATCTGTGAAATCAACAGTGCAGCGTTTGATTGGAACAGAAGCCTACAAACCGCGAGACGTCACAAAAGAATTGTTGAGAAACGCTGTAAAGAGTAAAG